ACCGGCGTTGGGTAACACCGGCCAGGCGGTGACGCCAGGGACACGGGTGGGGGCAAGCAGTTTCGGTCGGGGCAAGAGCAGAGGCATCCAAACCAGTGATTACCTTGGCCCTGAGCTGCTAAGTGGAGGAAGTCTGTGATTAGTTGACACCTTCAGCCAGGCTTTGGATTTTAAGCTGGGCTGGAGCAGGAGTGGATGACAGCTGCTTTATTCACTGCTGATACAGTGAATAAAGCAGTGGTGAATAAAACTGCAGTGAATAAAGCAGTGATAAAACTGAAAACACAGCCTAGGTATGGTATCAGGGTATGCTGGTGAGTCCCCAGGGGCCTTGGGGGTGCTCATGGGGAAAGTTGGGTTTTGATGCTGTGGCTTTGAGTCCAAGGGCTCAGGGCAGGAATTTGTGTTGGGTTTGGTTTTCATGTGCTTTGAATAAACCTCCCTTCACCAGCCACTGCTGTGAGTCTCATGCAGCCTTGGGAAGTAAAGAAATTAATTCCCAAGGGTAAGCTTATCCCTGAGCTTTGGGATTCTTGTATTTGTAGGTGGCTACTAGAGAAGGAAGAGGGGAGGTGGTTGTGTTTGGACATGTGGCACAGCTGATACCAGGCCTGTGTTTAACTCCTCGCAGGGAATCACCTCCCACTCTGTCAGGCTGTCCCAAGGCTCTGTCCCCACTCTGCAAATGCAGCATTATTCATGGTCTATCCCTGCAGCCCAGCAGCCCTCTGGCCTAGCCAGGACCCAGAGGACCATTGTCCCAACCCCAGAGCCAGGAGGATTCAGGCTCTACAATGCCGTGTAGCCCCCAAAGCTTGCCAGAGTGAGGAATTAGGTTGTTGTCCCCATACCTGGCTGCTCCTGGCAGGTAAATCCCAGCTGTTCTCACCCTGAGTGAACATCACTGAGGTTTGGCAGAGCAATTCCCTACCTACAACCCCTCCAGCACCCATCTTAGGGTCAAATGGATGAGAAAAACATTAGCAGCAATGAAAAAGATGGTGAGAATGGCACTGAGGGTGTGGAGCCTCCAAGCCCTTTCCGTTTGTCCTTTGTGGGGTTTTGCCATTCAGCCACTTCCATGCGGAGGTGTCGGGGCAGTGCAGGGCAGCACTGGAGCAGCACGGAGCCTGGATAAGGCCAGCACAGCGCCTGGATAAGGCCAGGCATTGTCCACGCTGCCTCCCCCGCAGCCGGTGCGTGACCCAGGGCTCTCCCGCCCCGTCTGGCCGCCGTCCGCCCGTGCCGTGCAAACAGATGGGCCAGATTAGCCAGACGGGATCCAGCCTCTTCCCGGAGCTGCCCAGCACCAGGGGGAAGTGTTCTGGGGCCTGAAGTGGCCTTTTGGGCCGTGCAAACAGCGAGATATCCTGGAAAGGGTATTTATTTAAGGTTCAAAGCATGACTTTGCCAAGGCTGGGAGGATGTGGGCTGAAAACCAGCCCTTGATAGATCAGGGATCTCAGCCCCGCCAGCTCCGTCCCAGCCTGGCACCCCCGGAGCTCTCTCAGAGGCTGTGGCTGCACCCAAGGTCTCGATCCCCAGGAGAGGACTGAGCAACCCACGGGATGGGGCTCAGTGGCTTTGTCCCCCCAGCATCCAAGGTTTTGGTCCCTGGAAGGAGACTCTGCATCCCATGAGCGAGGGCCTGGTGGCTGTGCCAGCTCTGGCATCCACTGAGAGCTTCTTTCCCTGGCACACAAATCACGCTGGGTCTCACGTTTTGGAAGCCCAGGAGCTCAGGACTGTGTCCCTTGGGAGCTTACCAGCTCGATCTCCTGCACTTTGGCCCAACGACAGGCGGAGCAGGCGCTGCACAGGGCTGTGACTCCCTCTGCTGCTGCACCGTGGTCCTGAGCTCGTCCTCCTCTCTTTCCTCATTGCACAGGAGGGAAGGTTTGGGGTGCCCCGCTGGCCTCAGGGCATCACCTCGGATGGGTGAGCGGGGAGCCGAGCTAAACTCGCACCTGGGCAGCAGCCGTGGGAGCTGCTCGGCTGTGGGATGTGCCGAACACCCGTGTGCCAGGGCCCCGGTTTGGGGGAGCCGCTTTCGGGGTGGCGGAGGCAGAGCTGCGCCTGCAGATGGAGCTCCGCGCTCGGCCGCCGGCGGCAGGGAGAGCGGTGGAGCGAGCTGATGGAGCCGGGGAATTTCTGCTTCTGGAGGAGCCCACGGCTCTGCCCGACCCCAAAAGACAAAGAGAGGCTGTGCTCAAGGCCTCCCTGCTGGGCAGGGGGTGGCGGTAATTAATCCCTGATTAAGTTAATTACCCAAAAGCGTTTGAAAGAGGTCTGAAAGAGGTGGGAGGGAGTGCTGCCCAAAACCAGGTATTATAAAAGTGAATCTCTGCGGATGGATGGATGGATGGATGGATGGATGGAGAGAGAGGAAGGAAGGAAGGAGAGGAAGGAGAGGAGAGGAGGGAGAGGAGGGAGAGGAGGGAGAGGTGGGAGAGGTGGGAGAGGTGTTGGTTTTGGGAGTGTCTGGCTGAGGCAACCAGGGGATCTGGTGGTGTCCCAGCACCTGCAGCCTGAGCCTTCCTCCCCTAGGGAGAGGGAGGAGGAGGAAGGAGGGTGTGCAAGCTGGGCTGTAGGGAGGGAAGGGCTGCTGAGGGAGCTCTCCCTCCTCACCACAACCCTGCGCTGCAAATACTGCAGCCTTTCCAGACTCCTGGATTTGGGCTGGAAGCTGTGTTTCTGGGACTGCAGCAGGTGCTGTCCCACGGGCTGGGGGACCCTGGGAGGGCTCAGCAAGGAAGCACTTGCAGCTGCTGGCTCCTGGTGTCTCGACATGTGTGTCCTTGTGCCAGGCTAAGATGGCCCGTGTTCTCCTCTTTGGGGAGCAGGGACACGGGAGGAGCTTGCTGGGAGCCAGATTTGGGTTCATGGGGGCAGAGTGGGTCAGATGGGGACAGTGGCAGGGTCTGCTTCCCGTGGCTCCCTCGGGATGGCAGATGCCTGGGGAAGCAGTGGGAGCTGCCCATGGTGCCCAGGGCAAGGCACAGCCGGTGCAGGGGGCAGCAGCTGCTGCTGGCCTGAGCTCGCTGCTCCAGGGATTACACTGATCCGCTCCAGCTGCCCTGCTGTGTGCTGAAGGATTTCTGAGTCTTACACATGTTTTCCCTGCTAAATTGGAGGTGTTTGTGTCCACAGTGCAAGGGCCAGGTCAGCGTTTGCTTTGATCCCTAGGATTCAGCTGGGTCAGGGGAATTGTGTGACTTGGCCTGTGTGTGGTGGGAAATCAGAGGTTTAAAAGTTTCTTTTGGAAATGGAGCTCTGTAAGGCAGCAGATTTGGGGCCACCATCCTGAACCTGCTGACTGTCCTTATGGCTCTGCAGGCTCTTCTAACAGTGTCTGGTCTGTTGTCAGCATTGTCACTCCCATCTTGGCTGTACCTCTTTCGAATTCAGCACTTTTCCTCAGAAATCAAATTTCAGCCTCTCCCATGCAGTTTCCAGCCCACGATTTGTTCTCCTCTCCCAGGTGGTCCCCGGTCCCAGTGGTGCCACTGAACTGAGTGATGCCATGCCCCTGCCTCTCCCTGTGCCAGCTGCAGTGGCATCCTCATGGATCACGTTGGGCTTGGATGTGTGGGGCATCCCCACCCCCTGCTCCCCCCCAGCTGCCCCCACAAAACCATTCCTGCCCCGTTGTGCAGTGGCAGCTCCAGCACAGCTCACCCTGGCCGCTGCCAAGCGGTGCCCTCGGAGCAGGGCTGTCACCCTCGTGCCACTGTCCCTCGTGGGGACATCCCAGGGGTGACATTGCACGTCTGTGTCCCTCAGGAGCGGCCCCACCCGATGCCCCTTTGGGCCTGACACCTGCTTCCCCTGGCCTGGCAGCACCCATGGGTGCTCTCCCAGCTGTGGGCAGCTGCCAGAGCCATTCTGCCCATCAGAGTGAGTCCCTGGCTGGGCTCCACGCACCCCCTGATTCCTCAGTGCCCCTGGCTCTAGAAATGGCCTTTCCTAGTGCACGCTCATACAGTGGGAATGAAACCTCAGCATGCACTCTCTCTCAGCATGTCTCTGATGCACTCTCAGCTCTGCCCCTTTTGCAGCAGCTTGGATTTTTTAATTGTTATCAATTTTTTTTCCAGAGGATGATGGCAATTCCCTGGGGCTTGGTGTAACTTGGGTGTGAGGTTTGCTTCCCTGCAAGTCACAGCAGTGATGTGATGTTACTGGAGGTGCTGAGCCCATCCCAGTTTGGGGCTCTGATATCCAATGATGGGTGTAGCAAACCAGCCTTATTTGTTGCAAGACCATATGGATTTTATGGATGTCAATGTTCATTAGGGTTTTGGTGCATCAGTTGAGCTGATTTGAGGTTTGGCAAGGAGAAATAACAAAGCAAGAAGAAATCCAGTGCCACAGCGAGGAACAATGTGCTTTTAGCTTTTCTTCATAAAGAAATAGGGCTTTGGAGGTCCTGGTCTGTGCAGAGACATCCTCAAAGCTTTTGGATGCCAGTGTCAGGGTGATGAGTCAGGAGGCAGTGATGGAAAATGGGGGAAATTCATACAGAATCAGGTCGGAAGAGAGGAGAGACCCCGCGGGGGTCAGAGCTGGGTGCCAGAGCTGCGAGGGACAGATTTGGGGTGTCCTGGTCCCTGGGGTGCCCCCGGCAGAGCGGGGGTGCTGCAGCCTGCTCCTCGCTGTGGAAAAGGCCGATTTTCTCCCCAAAACGGCTCCCACGTGGGACGCGCAACGTTTGCTCCCTCTCCCTGGCAAAAGCGAAATCCTATCCCTGTCCTCAGTGCTCCGCTTGGGTTTCTCAGGGCTGTTCCTGGCACTCGGCTCCTTCGCCTCCCACATTTCCATCGCCTCTCTCCATCTTTTTTCCACTCCTTCGCTCCCTGCGCCCTCCCCACGGCCCCGCTGCCCCGGCCGCTCCCCTAAATGGGCCACGGGGCGGATTTTGGGCACGGCTCATGTGCACCGCCCTCCTCCCGGTGCTGCCCTGCTCCTCCTCCTCCTCCTCCTCCTGCTCCCGCCCGCAGCCGCAGCGCCGGGAGAGCCGCGGGGCTGCCGTGAGTAGGGGGCTCTGCTGGCTCTGCTGTCCCTGTGCGGGGAGGCTGGGTGGTTCTCCGGCCGGCTCCGCTGGCTGCTTCTCCTTTGATAGTTTATTTTCTTCCATCCCTGCCCTTCCCGTGTCCTTCGGCGGCAGCAGGAGCCGCAGCCCGTCCGCGGTGGCGCCGGGGCTTGTCCCCTGCGGGTGACACCGGCGCGGCCGGGGCTGGCTCCCTGCGGGTGACACCGGCGTGGCCTCTGCTCGGCAGGGCGATGCCGCTGGAGGACGGGGACCCGCTGAGCCCGGGGGCACGGCAGCTCCGCGGAGAGGCCAGCGGTGTCCCCCGGCTCCCGGCGATGGGGGAGCCCTCGCTCCGGGGCACGGCAGCGCCTGGTGGCAGCGGGACAGAGGGCTGGGAGCCGGGGCCAGCGCTGGGTGATGGGGATGTGACCCCCGGGGCAGCCCCACGGCGAGCACGGCAGCCCGAGGAAGCGCTGATGACCGAGCTTTCGGAGCTGGTGCAGAAGGTGGTGAAGAGCAGCAGCTGGTGGGAGCGGCACGGCGTGGACATCAGCATCCTTGCCTGCAGCTTCCTCCTGCTCCCAGCAGGTAACCTGGCTCAGCCCCCCCAAACCACGGCCGGGGGGTCCCCAGGGGTCCCACTGCCTCCTCATGACTGCTTTGTGCTGGCAGCCTGTTGGCACCTACTGAGGTTGTAACAAAGGCACAACAACTCCTTCACCCCGTGACTTGGTGCACTCTGACCCCACAGCAGGTGACAGTGACACCCGGGGTGTCTGAGGAGCTGAGGGGACAGTGGGACCTCAGCAGCCTGGGCTGAGGGGACAGTGGGACCTGGAGTACAGCCTGGGCTGAGGGGACGGTGGGACCCGGGGTGCAGCCTGGCCTGAGGGACAGTGACACCTGGAGTACAGCCTGGGCTGAGGGGACGGTGGGACCCGGGGTGCAGCCTGGCCTGAGGGGATGGTGCCCAGGCAGATGTACACAGGGCAGGACAGTGGGTGATGTGTCCCACCATGGGACAGGGTGGTTTTGGTGGCGATGGCCCTGGCTGTGGTGGGTGCAAGGGAAAGCAGTTGAGCGTGGGTCTCTGGTGGCATGGCTGGAAAGCTGGGACCTTGTCTTGCTGTTGAACTCCTGGGGACGCTGAGATCCTGGCAGAGTAAGGGCACCAGTGGAATCCCACATGCCAGAGCTGTGGGGTGGGATCAGGCACCTGCAGCACTCCTCGCCATGGAGGCTGGAAGTGGCCAAATCTTCAGCACAAGGGTGAGTGCGGCTGATCCAGTCACGAGGATGATGAGGAGGCAAACTCTGGCTTGCATGGTTTAATACCTGTAACCACGGCTGAAGAACAGGTTTAGGGCCGTGGCTGGCGTGTTTGGGCGTAGCAACACCTCCAGCCTGGCTCGGAGGGCTGCAGGACATGAGCATGGCCCAGCTCCTGCCCTGCTGGTTTCTCCACAGGGTTCCTGTGCCTGCGGTCAGCCCAGGCCATCCCTTTCCTGGCGGGTGTCCTCACCCTTGGCGTGGTGCATCACACCCTGACCGTCAAGGGCAGCCACCTGGCCAGCCACAATGCCTTGACTGAGTCCAAGTCCTGGAGCAAAGTGTGGGCTATCTTCTTCATTGAGGTGAGTGGGGCAGCCCCCAAAAACACCCCATCAGCACCCTGTGGTGGTGGGAAATGTTTGGAATGGTGGGAAAGGTTTCTAGTGCTTAACTCTTACAAGTCCATTCCAGACTGGTTTGGGGTCTGTGGGGTGCAGAGCATCTCCTCATGGTGTTTCATTATGGTTCCAGAGCATCTCCCCAGGTTCCTCCCACACAAACCCAAGCCAGGCAGTGCCCAACCCTGGCAACTTCTCTCTCTCCCTTCCCAGCTCTGCTCAGCTTTCACAGTCGAGCAGGCCACCTACAACCATGTGAAGATCCACCACGGCTACACCAACGTCATTGGCCTGGGGGACTCCAGCACGTGGAAACTTCCTTTCCTGAACCGCTACGTCTACATGTTCATCGCTCCTGTGGCAGTGCCCATCCTAACCCCGCTGGTTGCACTTGGTACGTGTCCCACGTGCCTTGGGACAGGGTGCTGGGTGTGGGAAGCCCGTGACTGCCCCGGTCTCACCCCACCCAAGGGTCCTGCTTTGTTTGGAGGCATCCCATTAACTACACCAGTTCCTGGTGGGACACTGCAGGAAGGGCAGGAGATGCTGCACTTGCTCTGGGGACCACATCTTCTGCATCTGCCGAGAAAACGCTTCACCTTTTCCTGGGCTGGATGTTGAAATCGCTGGCAAAAGCCATCATGAGCCTGCAGCACCCCAATTCCATTCTCCTTTAACTCAGATCTGTGGCCATAATGGGGTTCAGTCTCACACTCAGGTTGATCAGAGCATCACACAAGGTGTTTGGTGGCCGTGTTTGGGGTGGAGGTTTGGGGCAATGCAGGGGCCAGACACAGGGCAGGAAAGGTGGTGGCTCCAGGGAAATAATGGTGCCAGAAAGCAATCAGGGAGAAGAGCCCAGAAAGCAGTAAGAGGCTGGGGAAGCAAAGCTCTCCAGGCTGCATGACCCAGCTGTGGGCAGTGCCAAATGCACGGCCAGTGACTTGGCAAAGTGTGAGAAACGAAGGAGCGTCCAAATCCCCTGAGTGATGCTGCACAGCTGGATCTGCTGCTCTGGGGAGTCTCCCAGCAGTTTTATAGGGTTTGGGCCAACTGGAGGATGGGAAAAGTGAGTTCATGGGCTGGGCTGGGCTGGGCTGTGGGGCTATTGGCACAGCCTGACTGCTGGAGCAGCAGTGGTGATGGGGAAACATCAGCACCTCTCCCATGCGCTGCCTCCTCTTCCTTGTGCAGATTTATTGAGGGATGTGGAGTGGAAGGCAGCTCTCCGGACCCTCTGCTGCATGTTTCTGGGGTTTTACTGCCACTACTGGCTCCTGCTCCACGTCTCGGGCTTCCAGTCGCCGTGGTCTGCCCTGCTCTGCATGCTGGTCACCCGCTCCCTCCTGGCCCATCCCTACATCCATGTCAACATCTTCCAGGTAGAGACCTGAAGCTTCAAGGTATCCCAGCAGTGCTGGAGACAGGCAAGCCACCACCCAGTGCCGTGATGCTGCTGGCTGGAGCTTGTGTCACCTTCAGGCGTGTGGGTTCAGTTGTCACCTCCCTCGTGCTGATGTTGTCACCAGGAGGATCAGGCTGGTGGTGCTGGGTGGAAAGTGGTGGCCCTTGGAAAATGTCAGGGCAGATGAGTGCAAAGGGTGTGAGGATGATGGGTGTGAGGATGATGTCCTCTGCAGTGGCTGGGAGGGCTGATGTGTTTCAGGTGGTGTTACAGGCCCTGGGGTGGGGAGAGGCTGCTGGCTCTAAGTGGGGATGTGCTGGGAGAGCAGAGCCTGGGAGCTCCCTGGTGGCTCCATGGACAAACACAAGATGGGGTGACTTTAGGCACAAACCCAGCTCTTGGGCTGACAGAGAGACCCCAAAATGCGGCTCCTTGTGCCCACACACAGGCAGAGCTGCCATTGGCTCTGCCGGGGTGGCACTGGGGAGGTGCCACAGGGTGCCCACCCTGCCTGTCCCACAGCACATCGGCCTCCCCATGTTCGCCGCCGACCGCAAACCCCGGCGCATCCACCTCATGAGCCGGGGCGTCCTCAACCTGCCCCGCAACCCCCTCCTGGACTGGTCCTTCGGCCACTCGCTCATCAGCTGCCACGTGGAGCATCACCTCTTCCCCAGCCTCTCCGACAACATGTGCCTGAAGGTGAGGTGACCCCACAGGGTGACTGGGAGGTGACATGGGGACGAGAAATCTTCCCGCCCCCGCTGCCACACCTGGCTGTGCTGCTCCTTCTCATGTTGGAAACTGCTTTGCAACAGTCCCTAACCCATCTCCTGCCATCCCAGTCCTGTTCTCCTGGGTTTCTGCTCCCTGCTCCTTCTCCTGGCCCCAATTCCAGCCTGCAGCAGCCTTCCAGCAGTGCAGGATCCTCCCGGTGATTCCACTGGGAAAGTATCCCCAGCATTGCACAGTGCAGTTTTTGGTTCAGGCAACATCCAGGCAAATCTCTTATCACTCTCCTCGTGCCCTTACTTGCTGCTCTGGGGTGTGGGGTGTGTTCAAAACGTGGGCTCTGAGCACTGCCCCGGCTGGAGGGGATCCCAAGGCAGGTCCATAGAGGGCCCTTCAGCACGGGATCAATGCTGTGTCCCTGTGTTCAGTGTCCTTTGCTTGAGCTCAGGGGGCTGGCAGCACCCACCTCCCCCAGAGAGGTGTCACAGGGAAGGAGGTAACTAAACCTGTGGCAGCCTCCCAGTCCCATCAAGGAGCTGGCTGCGTGGGCCAATAATGATGGGTGTGAACCATGAGCATTCATGGCTGGGTGTGAACAACGAGCATTCGTGGCTGGCTCTCATTAGAAGCCTCATTAGGGCATCTCTCCTAATTTGGAGCCCTCCAAAGGGGTTTTGCCAGGGTGAACTCCCTGTGATGCTGCAACTGGAAACCACCTTCCTCTTAATATTCACAGCAAAGATACTACAGCTGGTGCTGCCTGCCCCAGCCCAGCTTTGGGCACGTGGGATGGCTTTTCTGGGCACGTTTCAGGCACCTTGTGCAAACACAGGGCACCCTGCACTGCAGTGACATCTCCTTTGCCCTTGCAGATCAAACCCATCGTCTCCCAGTACCTGAAGCAGAAGAAGCTGCCCTACAACGAGGACACGTACAGCTCCAGGCTCTGGCTCTTCCTGCAGAGATACGAGGAGCTGATGGTCCATGCTCCCCCCATAACGGAGCTGGTGGGCATCCAGTGAGGGCCCTGGGGGCTGTTTCCTGCAGGGACATTCAGAGGGATGGTTCCAGCAGGACCAACACCTCCATGAAGTCCCGGTGTAGGAAACATCCCTCCCTGAAGTTTTGCTTTTGGCTGGAAAATGGTGCACAGAGCCACTGCAGGGGGAGAGCCTGCTGGGCCAGCACCAGGGACAGAAAAACCAGCATTCCCCACAGTTGTTCCCAGTTTATCCACTCTGCTCTCACACCTGGGGAGAGGAACCCACCCCATCCGTGGGGGATGTGGCACCAGGCCAGGACATCCAGAAGTGAGAAGCAGCAGGATCTGCAGGATGGAGCTGCTGCTGTTTGGCTGGGGTCTCAGGGAAGGGGTGGATGTGGGGAGGGGGCTGTGACGCTGCTGCTTGTGCTTTGCCTGACTTTGGGCTAAATCGGCCCCTTCTAGGAACAAAGATTTGTTTCAAAGATAAGTTCAGCCTTAACACTTTGGGGTGGATTTCCTTTAACACTTTGGGGTGGATTTCCTTTACCATTGGGGTTTTTGCTGGAGGGAGTCTGACTGGTGTCCTGTGGTGCCCAGGGTAGGAGTGGGGGAGAGACCCTCACCCCATGGGGGTGCCAGTGTTGGGGTGCCAGTGTTGGGGTGCCAGAGGTGGCCCCAGCCTGGGCATTGCTGTGGTAAGGATTTATCAAGGGAATCAGGGACAGGCAGGAGTCAGGGCTTGGGGGGCTTTCCCTGCTTGGGGAGGGTGAGCTCTGCCCCCTGTGCTGCTGCCAGGGCTGGGGTGCTCCCCTGGGCATCTGTGGGGAGCTGTGTCTGCCTTTACCAGGTGCTCCAGAGCTGCAGCACCGATGGCAAAGCCCAGCCCAGGGGGAGCTGGCACAGCAAAGGCCAAACTGGGAGCAGGGGCTCTGCTCTCAGCCTGGGGCTGTGCTCTGTGGTGTCCCGTTCTCGGCTGTTTTTGATGGCCTGGAAATGCTCGGGATGGCCTTGGGTCAGCCCGCGCTCCAAAGGACGAAAGGAGTCTTCAGGTTTTTTCTCGGTCTTCAGTGTTTATTAGTTTTTATCTACATGATTTTCTCCCGGCCTGACAGAGGTCCGCACAGCACGTCAGCCATGGACACACTGAGAGCCCTCGGGGCGGTCACTTATCTTTATACCCAAAACTACGTGTAAGATATTTACCTATTTTCCCCAATACCTTTCACCCTTATTGACAAGTGCACTTTTAGTAAGAATCAATCCCAAAGTGCCACCACCACCACAGAAGATGGAGGCCAAGAAGAAGAAGAAGAAGGACAGGACACGCCCCAATTCCTCCATCATGTCTCCCTAGAACCCCCCTGTACCGAGATTCTAAAACCTGTGTTTCACTCTATAATTAACCTATCCTTTCACCATTTATCCCAGTGAGATCCTCCCATCCTCATACAGGTGTCGTCTCCTGTGCAGGATCAAAGTCCAACCACCAGACACTTCTGGCAACATTCCAGGACCTCCGAGCCCCCCAAGGGTTGTCTCGGTGACTCTGCACATCAGGACTGCTGTGCTGAGATCCCACACTGTGGTTTCAGTGTCCTCCCGTCCGGGCTGCACCCCTGCAGTGCCACCTTGGGGATTTATGAGGCTTCACAGGCAAATGTGCCCCGAGGCTCAAGGATGCTGTGCCCTGGCCCTGGCCCGTGGCAGAGGGCAATCCATGGTGTTTCACTCAGCTTCTCCTCCAGCACGTCCAGGAGCCCCCTGAGATGCACAGGAGAAGGGTCCCTGTGGTGTGAGGGGCCCTGCATCCCTCCAGTGTGACCCTTTGGCATCAGAAATGTTGAGTTATTGATTTGTGCTGGGCTGGGGTCCAGTGCTGCTGATGCGCTGATCTGGTGGCATTGCCACCTCTCTGCAGGCCCACGTGGGCCATCGATCTGGGCATTGTGAAACACCCAGAGGGCAAATCCCACAAATCCCATCCTCTGGGCAGGGCTTGGGCTGGGGCTGGAGCTGGGGGAGCAGCTGGAGGAGCATGGCCAGAGCAAATGGCCTGAATGCTCTGGGGGGTCTGAGACCCTTCCCCAGTTCATCTCTCAATTGAGCATCAGAGATAAGTTAAGATAAATGTTACAAATTATTGACATTCCCAGTTCCAGCAAGGGGGTGAGTGTTGCCTTCTGATGCAAGGCGAGGCGACCTGGTTCTGAGGAAACGGCACGGCAACCCAAACTCTCCAGGGTCACTCGGGCCAAGAACACACGCTAACACCAACGTGGTGGACGGTTCAAAGGCCTTTATTGTCCCGTCTCGTCGGGTTTTATACTTGGGAAGGTTTTTTCTCTACGTCAGGGGTCTTACCTTACTGTAATTGGTTAATAAGGAGTCGAAAGTTACTAGTGTTAGGGGCGACTACATTCTTGGGTGATCCCTTATCACTAGAAGTTAGGGGGAGAGGAATTCTGCTGCTTTCCGTGACATCGCAAGATTTTCCGAGTGCCTGACCCTATCTACTAGAGGTGAGGGAGCATTAGAGGTGCTTTTGGTTCAGGCAGGGTAATCTTAACCCCACATGTTCCTGTGTGTGGGCACAAAATGCTCTTTTGCCCTCTCTGCTGCAAGAGATCAAGCCCCAAAATGTTCCCAGGCATTGGTCAGGGCAACAGCTCCTTCCCAGCTGGATTTTGTGGATGTTGTTTAAAGCAATGCCAGCTGAAGGCAAGTGTTTGCAGGTCCCTCAGCCAGCAGGAGACAGCCTGTGGTTTGGGAAATAGATGGATTATTCCCTGCCAGAACTGGTGGATACAGAAGTTAAAGGGGGAAAGGGAGAACTCTGGAAAAAAAGGAGGATTCTGACTCATGGTCTTGGAACCCTCCAAATTTAAACCTGCTGCTTTTGTGGATGACCTCTGTGGTGATATTTGGAGCCTTCAGCCTTGCTCCTCTGGGCAGGGGCTCAATGGTTGCTGTGCTGAGCTGAGGATGAGGGTTTGGAGCTGCTGGAATTCCTGGTCCTGGCCACAGCCCCCCTGAAGGAGCGGGTGCAGAAGGAGGCACAGAGCCAGCTGCTGTTTCCAGCGTGCCTTTGCAGAAAGCCATCAGCTCATTTCCAAAACCAGGAGAGAAAGTGTGTGAGTTTTATGATCCATATTACAACCAGCTCCTGGCTGTAAACTCCTCATGGTCTTAATTGCATTTTAAAAGCCCCGTCAAGCACTTGCCTGCGTGCTCTGGCATCTGGCCAACTTTTCAATGTCTGCTGGGCCCGCTGAGATGATTTTTCTGTCTGGTGTGTTGTGCAGTGGCTGAACACGATGGGATGTAGTGCTTCTGCCTGGAGGTGAGAATGCGCCATGATGGGGATGAAGGAGGAAATAAAGCAGCGACCGTGGGGACGCTGGGGCAGGAGTTCTGCCAGCATCATTTATCCGCTCTCTCTGGCGTTAATGTTTTACTCTTTACTGAAGGACGCTGGGGTTTTCTCCTGGCAAGAGCAAGGTCAGTGTGCAGCGCATGGTTAAAATCAGTCGGAGGTTCGCTTTCCCCGGCAGATCTCGGCAGCTGGTCGCTGTTTGGGCGGCAAAGGGTCGCAGGCAATCAGCAGCATCAGTGATGATGATGATGATGATGATGCTGCGAGAGCGCGCCGGGTACCGCGGACGTCTCACCATAGAGAGCGGCGGTGCGAGCGGCCGCCAGGCGGCCCTTCCTTCCCCACCTCTCTATGGTAACACCGCGCTTCCGGTCGGCCGCCGCGGGAATGGCCGGCTGCCATTGGCTGGCGGGGTAGGGGCGGGGCCGGGAGGAGGGGCTATGCTAAGGAAGGCGCTGTGCCGCCTCACGATTGGTCAGTGAGGAGGAGGGGCGGGGCCTGACCGGTGAGGGGCGGGGCCCGGTGGCGGCGGCGGAACGCGGCCCGGGGAACGCGTGCCCGCGGGGAGCGAGCCCGGAGCGGGGCAGCCGCGGCTGAGGGAACCGCGGGACTGCGGGAACGGCGGGAACCGCGCCCCGCAGGGCCCTGCTCCATCCCTGGGGCTGAGGGAACGGCGCCCCGCAGGGCTCTGCTCCACCCCTGGGGCTGAGGGAACCGTGCGGCCCCCGGGACCCCGGTGCGCAGACTCGGGCTCTCGGTTCTGGGCTCTGCAGCCGTTCACACCCGCCGGCCCTGGCCCGGCCCCAAGCACCAAGGCCGCTGTCTCTGAGCTCCCCGTGCGGTGCAGAACCCGGCCCCGCTTTGCTCGCCTGCGGCCATGGCCGGCGCGGGGGGCCGAGCCCCGCTGGGTGCGTGCCGGGCTCCGGGGAGGGGCCGTGCCGGCCCTGGCCGGTGCCAGCTCCGGTGGCTTCACGCCCTGCTTGTCGTTCTCCCCCGCAGGTCTGCGGCGGTGGCTGTGCTCGGCAGCCCCGGCGCCCCGGGTCTGCGTGGTGGGCAGCGGCCCCGCCGGCTTCTACACGGCTCAGCACATCCTCAAGGTACCGCCATGGGATCTGCCCGCGGGGAGGCCTCTCTGCCCTGCCTGCCCCTCAGCGGTGCTGGGGTGGGTTTGTGGGCTCCTGGCCCTGCTCCAGCCAGGTCGGTGTTGTTGGGAGGCTGCTTGGGGCTGCCCAGACCCCACAAAGTCCTTCTGGGCCTATTTGGTTGGGGTCGGTACCACTGCTTTCATCCCTGCCCTGCCCCTGGGTCGTCCATTCAGGACTTTGTTGCTGTGAGTTCATCCCAAGTGACTTTTCTAGAATCAAATAATCAGCAGGAATCTGCCTCGCTCAAAGCTGTTGTCACCCAGCAGGAATGACATTAACTGTGTGTTTGAAGTGGCTGTGTGGGACCTGCTCTCCTCCCTCCTCTCACAGCAGAATTAAGACACATGGGTGATGCTTTACCTTGTGTCTGCAGATTCCAGTGCTCTGGGCAGTCAGGTCTGTTGGGAAATGAGACCTGAACACAGAACTGGGCTACTGGCACCCTCCAGAGACACAGCAGCTTAACTCCATCATTAAACCATGCTGTGCTGTCTCTGGAATGTGTTGGAAAATAGCTGTTACTAAGCCTCAGGGACGAATTTCAGGGCTGCTTAATCTCGGGAAGAGGCTGACTCAAAATACAAGATAACAAAGGCCTTGCAGCCAAGGGTCTGTCTAAGGCTCTGACCCTAAGGTGACCCAGCCCAGGCCATGTCAGGGCATGGACATCTCTGCTGGGGACTGGGAGATGTCTGGCAGGTCCCCAGCCCCCAGGGTGCTGTACTGGCTGCTTCCCAGCTGGCCTGGGGCTCTCTGATCAGCCCCCCAGGTACTGGATACCCACCAGGGTAGTGTGGAGAAGGGGCTCAGGACTGGGCAGGGAGATGGAGCCCCACAAGATGGACTCGATGGTGGCTGGGGTCACTCTGTGCTGCATCTTGTGGTCTGAGCTGGCAGCAACAGGTGCAGCATCATGGAAGAGCCTGGAAAAGGCTGTGTCTGGCTTGCTGCAGCCCATCCTC